TCCCCCCTCCCCCGTGCGTGGCCCTGTCCCAGCCGCCGGCTGCAGCCCCGTGAGCTGGTGGCGTGGCCGGACCTCCCACCTCCTGTGGGGCCAGCAGTCCGGGGTTGCGGAGTTCCCTGGCTCTGTCAGAAGCGGAATAACGTATGGGCGAGATTATGCTAATGAAGCAAGGGATATTTAAATCCCCGCTTCATTAGCAATTTCGGTCAGCTACATTTGCATCCCTAGCTCGAACTAGGGAGCAAGTGTAGACATACCTAAGGCCTTTTGGCTATGTACCTCCTGTGGGGCCAGCAGTCCGGGGTTGCGGAGTTCCCTGGCTCTGTCAGAAGCGGAATAACGTATGGGCGAGATTATGCTAATGAAGCAAGGGATATTTAAATCCCCGCTTCATTAGCAATTTCGGTCAGCTACATTTGCATCCCTAGCTCGAACTAGGGAGCAAGTGTAGACATACCTAAGGCCTTTTGGCTATGTAGAAACACCTTAGAGTGGGATTAAATATTTACATCCATTTAAGGCCCCTTTGCACTACAATTTGCTCTACAAATACAGATCTCCTTAAGTGATACAGAGGCAGTGGAGTAGGGTGTATGTAAGCATGAGGGTTAACTGAGAAGCCAGGCTCATTGGTTAACTGTGTACTTGGATACACGCTCCCATCCCTAATCTTCTGGCAGCTTCTTTAGTAGTGTAAGATGTATTTCTTCAGGCTTGGTGACTTGAAGACATCTAACTCAAGTAATTTTTAACTTGCTCGTTTCCCTATTTTAGCCTCTGGTCCTACCTCATTTTCACTGTCATTCACTGTATTACAATCCAAATGCTATTAAGCTTTTTTGTGAAAACTGAAACAAAAAAGCATGTAGTATTTGTGTCATCTCCACATTTTCTGTTATTTCCTCCCATCCTTGAGCAACATCTACTTTGTCTTTGGCCTTCCTCTTTCTTCTAATGTATTTTTATTTTCATTGTCAGACACCTTTGACACTGGGTGGTCTCCTCAGCCTGGATTATGAGTGTGTGAAATGCAGGCTATAGTCTCTGGAAATCTGCACCAGGATCTGGATAGAGGCTCTCATGGTCAGATTCTCTGTGTGGATACAGGTGCAAGTGAAGGACAGAGGAGCAGTGCTGGTGCTGATGATGTGGTCTTTCCTAAACATAGCAACTGTATTAGGATTCCCCTTCAAACTTCCATTCATTAGCTCTAATTGGTTGCGTAAGGCTGACAGACCCTGGTTTTTAGCAGGAGGCATTGAGCCTCTGATCTTAGTGGCTAAAACCATGTGCCTCTTCTGCAAGAGCTAAAAGCCAGTTGGCTCTCAGATAAGGCAGTAGAGCAGACTTTGCTCTCCTGTGTCGGTGGTCTTAGTGCCTCTGGATTACATACTTCCCTTGGCTATGGAAGTGCATCCTGAGCTTCTGAGACCTTCTAACAATTCATCCCAGACAAGCCTCTGCTTTTAAAGCTGCTGGACACTGGTCATTGGCAGGAGGGATTGAATGTAACCTTAGGGACTAAAGCCATGTGCCTCTACTGCATATACTAAAAACCAACTGCCTCTCAGCTAAAGCTGTAGAGCAGACTTCACTCTCCCTTGTCAGTGGTCTCAGTGTCTCTGAATTACAGTTGGCTAGCTTCTGGGTTTTTTCAGTCTTCTCTTTCAGGTCAGTGCTATGTCTAGGGTATTGCAGTGCTAACAGAGGCTGATCAAGATGATGAAGGGCAATTCAGGGAACAAAGAGTCTATCAGTCTCCAAACACAAAACCTCATCTGACTGACCCTGTCACTTTAAATAAGCTGAAAGAGTAAGAAACTGATGGACAAACGAACAAAATCACTCACCCCAAGATTGGTACTCTCTCTTTGTTCATTCAGCCAGCAGGGGGCTCTCCTCGCCCTCTCAAACTCTCCTCCTTTGTAGTTCCATGTTTTCTAGCAGTTTGAAAACCACACCCTCAGTGTTGGGGTTGGTGATCTACACAGATTAAATGTATAGGGCCTTTGATAGAGCTCTCTGGCATGTGGGCAGTACAAATAGAATTCTGAGACGTTCCTTGCCCATAGCACAGCCCATGGCACCTTATTCTCACACAGTTAAATGTCCCCCAAAAAACTGTGTTCCAGCTGCAGTCAAAAGATGACTTTAGTTTATTCTATCACTGATTCGTCAGCCATTGCACATCAAAGGGATAAATGTGATCTCAATGGGTTGACAAGGAAGGAATGAGTGAAGAGTGAGGTGGAGTAAGACAGTTTGAGAGATAACTAATTTAAATAAAAGCCATGCAAGGCAATAAGCCAAAAACTAGCCTTAAAACTCACCTACTAACTGACAATTAACAGTACCTGTCCAAAACATACAGTGTATCACATTCAGTTTTAGTTAGAGAATAGTGTGACACTGGGGCAGGACTGCTGACAATCTTTGCCAGAAAAGGGGAAGATGGGGGGAGGGGGGAAGTGCCTCTGACTAGCCACTGCTGCTGCCATAGTCTTGATGGCAAGGAGCCCCAGTTCCTTTTAAATTTTCAGGCTCTGGAAAAGCTGTACGCTTTGTTCCCTCTTTCTTCCCTTCCTCCATCAGTGGGCCTGCCACTGGGGTTTTCTTTGTTTTCAGAATTGTTGAGACACAGTGGCTTGTAATGGATCTGAGTGTATTTACTAAAGGAACGCTACATAATTGAACTTTTTAATGTATGAAATGACCAATGAATGAACAATTAGACATTTTAGCAATTTCTAGATATGGTTTGGATTTGAATACAGAGAAGCTATTTTGCTAGAGATTACTATTTTATGTTTATACAGTATTGTGTTGGTAGGAGTTCAGTGATGATTTACTGAGATAAGTGTGTCTGAACTTTTCCAGTAAGGATGTGGAGGCATGTAATGGTCAGCTCTATTTATTCAATTGTTTTAGCAAACTCCTTGATCATACAGAGTTCATTTGAGGATTCCCAGTTTGCAATATTGAATATGCAGCAAGAGATACACTAAAGTCCAATGCACAAAACTGACAGAACTTTCTTCCTTATCAAATAAATTACTTTTCTGCTCTAAGACATTCATCCCGATATAGGCAAATAGAACTATTAAGTGTATTTATCTTCTTAATCTTCTCGAGCAGTCCAATTTCAAGTTCTCTATATAAGTGGTATTTGAAATTGTAGTAAAATATTGAACTGTCCAGGGTAGCTCACTTATATTGATGATGCACAGAGGT